GTCTCTCGCCACTACTTCGATACTCGTGTAGACAGCAGCACACGACGGCTTGGCCTGGCAAAACACAAGCCCATCAACACGTCCAGTGCCATGTAACAGCAGCATTTGCTGAGACAATCCCAGATGCATGAGCGGTTTTACACACAAACTTGCGCGAGACACGAACCCGCTAAGCAAGATACAGCACCGAGCCGGAGCACAATAAACAGCAAACAACTGCAAAGTGAGTGCAAAGTGCACCCTAAGCCAAACTGACCCCAAACTTTGGAGCCCGACGGCCCGGCACCCGGCCGCAATAGCAGCTCGCGCAGCTCCGCGACGGCTCGGAGACGGGTCGTGGGGTCCTGGAGGTGCCCCGCTTTCATCGACGGCGTCGTCTCTTTTTTTCATGTCATGGTCCTTGAATCCGGTCATCCCGACCCGTCTTACCAAAGCCGAAAGCCTCTCTTGCATAAAGACTCATTCACGCGCAGATCTTCCCCGGCTTCAAGGATTAACTACTGCAGCAGCAGGCAGAGCTTCTCTAGACATATGGCTTCACCAAGGGCAACAACCATTGAACAAAGATCGCACTTCACTGAGCAAGTCGCCACTACAAGGTCGGAAGCAGATGGGATGTCGATGGTTTAGAGCATGTCCACATATTTGTACGAAGGCTCGAATGCCTTTGGTCCCTGCGCCTTCCCCAAGCCCTAACTGGCTACTTCCTAGTCGGTGCTACGTAGCACAGGTGTCGCAGAACCTCAGTACGAAAACCCCTCTGCCAAAGAGGTGTTGAGTTTGCGTGTCTCCTTCTTCTGAAGGGCTTGCAGGGCCAGGGCCACCTCAAAGCAGCGCTTATGGAGCTTGAGTGGGGTTGGGTTTGCAGCGCAAGGTTTAGCCCGCAGCATTCAGGGCTTATGAGATGGTGATTTGTGATGCGGAACTCGGGAGCTGTTCGGCTTCGAATGCTTTCCAACTCTGCCTTGCAGCATGAGGATTGGGCCTCCACTCTTTGTCCCTGTCCTGTCTTCCCTGTCTGGTCTACCAAGTTCAGGCTCTCGTAAAGCAGCGCAACATTGGAGCTGACATTAAACATTACTCGGTCGATTTGCGGTGTCAGGGCTTCATTCCAAGGGCTTCAAACGCTTCCCGAGTCTCCTGTGACCAGAACATAGACAAAGATGCAACACACAGCAGTACTAGATGGTACAGTACTATATGGCAGAGGTCTGGCGGAGGTGTGTTGTTTCTTGGCCTTCTTGCGGCTTCGTTTTCCTTCCTAGAGTCAGCAACCCCGGCCCCGAGTTACTGTGTGCTTCATGTGTCGCGCCGCTCTTTCGCTCCGGAAGACATGCTGTATATGTTGCACGCTGCTCTCATTTCCCCGGCACCTCGAGTTGCCCACAAAGCGAAGACCCGGCGAGTTGCTCAGCTAGCTGAGGCAAGTGGCAAGTGTGGTTATTCCCTTGGTTGGTATGGTCGGCTGCGTCGCTGGTTTTTGTGTCACCCTGCGACTTGTTCATAAAGCGAAGACGAGGATCACAGGACTAGGGAGCACAGCAGCAAACTACAGGACTCCAGGACTGGAGGCACTCGACTAGGGCGTTTCGACCCACACCCAGACAACTGTCAGCTAAACTACAGCATGCATGACTGGTCTTCAGCCGCAACGCGAAGGTCAAGGCCTGATTTCTTTGACAAATTTGAGGCCTCGCGAAACCCCAAGCGCAAGCGCCTAAAAGATACTAAACGGCGGTCCACGTGCTCTGAAAACATTGCGCGGGTCGGGGGAGGCGCAATCTTCTGGGAAGGTATCATGTGCTATAACATGTTCGAATTACCTACATTCCAGATCTCCCGTGCCTCCACATCCTCAAGGGACACTGTCGCATCGTCCGCTTTGGACAATGGCCTTGGCACTCAGTTGCGAAGAACCGGGTACCAAAACTGCAAGACCCCCCTGAACTAAGCCACTGAGCGACCGGTAGGCTATTAGCCCTAGATGTGGACTGGCCGGGGGCTTGGGACTTGGAGTTCTGGCCGGCCTCCCAAACTGGGCGAAGACGTCCGCGGGAGAGACCCCGAGCTTCGAGGTATCGCCACAGATCTGCCGGGCTCAGGGCTTTGGGCTGAGGCTTTGGCCTGGACTTGAGGTCTGACGCTTCGGCGGAGTGGGGACCAGGAAGTCAGGAAGGCCAGGCCGCCGGGTTTTAGGTTCTTCTGGCGTGCAGTCTCCACACGACTCTCAGCAAGCCCTTGGGGTCACGGGAGTTCTTGAAGTCACCCCGACAATCGGCTCCCCACCGAAATTGGAACCCTGGAATCGAATCACAAAGAACAAGGAGTTGGACCCGTCAATCTCGGGCTTCTATCGCAGCGGGCTTGGGCTGTCGCCGTCGCCGCGCAGGGAAAGGAAGAAGTGATGGCTTCAAGAAGCGAAGCGATATGAGTAAGGGCAAAAACGGTTCTGATCCCTCTGCAGAACGCCAGACGGCTGAAATGCCCACCCACTGATGAAGCCCTGAATCCTTCCTTTACTATAATCTCCTACAACAAACTATAATCTACTATGTAGTCTACTATAATATACCATAATTTTACAAGAAATTACGATAATACACCATACGATAGGATAATATAATATATTGTAACCTACTACGAAAACTATAATATACTATATGATCGACAAAATATACTATAATACACCATATAGTATATAATCTATACTACTAAAAAATTCTACTATACTAATCTACGAAGAATCTACGAGAATATACTCTCTTCTAAACTCAACTTTCGATGCACAGCCAGGCCTCCAAAGCCTTCGCGCTGCTCGCTGGCACGGCTTTGCCCTGAAGTGTCGGGTCAATTTGGGGAGTCTTACGGCAAACTGAAGAAACCTTTAAGGGTTTAGGGTCTCGGGGCCCGAATCTTGGGGATTTTGTAGCTGACTGCGGAGGCTCAGGGCTTCAGGAACTTTGCAGTGTCGGCCTTGAAACTTCGTCCTGGGGTGGTGCTCCTAGCCGGCCTCAGGCCCATCAAAAAGAGTAATGAAATGGCTCTGAACCACATGTCGCAGAGCAGAGGCTCAGAAAAGAAAAACACACAAACACACACACACACACATAAAAAAAAAAAGCCCCGCTTTGGGCCTTGCATCTGGCCTTGGGAGCATGTGTGGGCATGAGAAGCCGGAGCTACTCATGTCGGCCTTTGACAACATGCAAGCCACACCTCCAACTCGAGCCTGAGGAAAGCCGAAACCCCAAACCCTAAACCCAACCCTAAACCCTAACCCCTAAACTGTAAACCCTAAAGCGCTTCAGAAGTCAGCTTTCATCAAGGGCTGGCTGAAAGGCATGGACCCACGAACCGCGTGCAATCTACGTGGCCTTGATCGCGGGTTGAATCCTAGAATTGAAAGACGACATGTTCCCTGCTGCATCCCGTCGTTTGGCATCAAATGCTATCATTAGAAATCATAAGCGACAGAATCCGAGTTCCGAATGGACAGGCACGAGGCCGAAGCCATTTTGGCATCTGCAGCTAAAGATTGACGCCGATGAGGACCAAGACGACAGAAAGAGGACCAGTTTACACTTACCCATGATGAAAGTAATGATGAAAAGAATAAGAAGACTGTGATGATGAGGACGACCACGATGAGGATGATAACCTGTTGGCGACGATGACAGGCTACAGTGATAGTGACGACAAAGATGCTCTCAGAAGCACAACAAAGCGCATCAGACCAAACCAATGTCCAAAAAAGCTACCGAAATCCAGTACCCTGAAACTTCAATATATACCGCCTTGTATAAACCTTTGGTCTAACTCTGGCTGCGCCTTGCGACCCATCCGGATGCAGGCGGAACGCGAGGGACCGTCGACGTTACTTTTTACGGTGGGTAAAGGTTGCGAAATTATCTTCATGGATGCTCACGCTGAAGAAATGATGTGGTGCAAGAATGGGGCACGAGGTTCACAACTTGAGCTGAAACGTTTTGCAGTACTTGTCGGAGCGAGGGATCGGGGCTCAAGGTACACACAAACCAAGTGGGGGCTGATTTCTTGACCCGGCCTTGCGGTTTGGGGCTAAACCTTTCATGAGCCAATGCTGCAGCGAAACAACGAAACTACACAGACTTACCGAAGCCTTCCACGAATCCTTGCAGACAAAACCGAATTGAAATGGCTAAGTGTTGTCCGTCACGCTTTCAAGCTCAGAGCACTGGAGCTCAGACCCTGCATCGTATGTCGAAGAACCCTCAGCAGCATCACAATGTCATGCACTTCATGAGGACGCCGGTGCATCCCCGTTGCTTTCTTTCTTCATGTTGACCTGACTTGGATATTCCAAACCTCGTCAAACCATTGACTTTCTAGCACATCTTGCTGGAAGGGGAAACCAAACTCAATGTCTTCGTGTAGATCTCCCTGTATACCTTTGCATCTGTTGAAGAGAATATCTGTTGGCTGAAATTTTTGTAGAGACGACGAGACCGACACAGGTATCAGAAAGTGGAGAAAAAACGGAAACCACAAAAATAAAAATAAAAAAACTTCCGTTCTTGTAATCAATATGCAATCTTTCTCCTACAGGGCTTTGCTTGATGTAGCCACTAAATCGAATATGATGTTTCTTTTGTCTGGCCAGCAAGTTTGCAGGAACGAGGCTTCAGTGCAGTTCACACAGCCAAAAAATGCAACGGAGACCTGCGAATTGGATAGCACGGGGTGTGAGGATCGGGGATGACAAGCTCAAGTATCGAGGCCATGTTGCCGGGTGGGCATTTGTAGTCACCAGTCATTGCAGAGCACTGCGAGCGACTGACTAGCCTTCGGCCGCTGCTTCTGTTGATGAGATGAATGTGCAAGGATAGACACCCTTAAACCCTAAACCCTAAACCACCTAGTCATCTAGTCGTCCAGTGTCCAGAGCCTTCTGGCAATGAAGGCCCAAGGCTTCAGCAGCACGCCGCGGATGAATTTCGAATTCGAATTCTCTCTGCTATGTTTCAGCGCTTCGGAGTAGGCCGGCTGGGGGCCTGGCTCAGTACACGAATGCAATTTACGTAGGGTTTAGGAGTTCAGGGTTTTGGGGTTTTAGGGGTTTAGGTTTTAGGGGTTAGGGAAGCTCTCGTGCCCAACTTGCAGGAACCGTGCCGCGAAATGCATCGATGCTCCGATTTAGCTTGGGGCTTACAGTGATCCCTGCCACGGTTCACAGGCACGGCATGAAACATTGGGGGGGGAGAGATGCATGCCTCCACGCCAACCCGAAGTTTTTTGAACGACCCCCCCGCCCAGGCCTTCTGAAGCTGCAGCAGCAAAGACGGGTTTTTGACCTGAGCAAGGAGGGGAGGGAGCGCTGTGAAAGCCCATCGCGAGCCGACCACCCCCCACCTTGACCAGCGCGCTCATGTCCGAAAGCCTCGCCTGCATCAGGGAGAGCCGGCCTCACAGCGGGTTTCGGGATACTTGGTACCAGCTTTAGGAGGGCTTCGGAAAGGTAGACATGGCAAGTCAACAGGCTGGAGCCTTTGACGCTGTTATACCGGAACGTGATCTGCTGCCGAACGACCTTGGTGCTTTGCTTCGCTTCGCTTCAAGAATTGAAATTGTGCTCAGATCGCCAAACCGGCAAGAGTAACACAACAACACAACACTGCAATATGCCAACTGCATATAACTGCATCTCATACAGAGGGGGCCAGAGGATATCTCGGTGCGGGGCTTCCTCCGGCGAAGCCCTGAAGTCGCAGGAGAGGAGTTCTACGAATTTGTACTCCTGGCGACTGGGAATTCAAAGGCTCCATGGCTGTGAAGGCCGTGCCGGCAAAAACAGAGGCACTGCATGGCTCGCCATAACCTAAACCCTAAACCCTACGAGTAAATCCTAAACCCTGAACCCTAAACCCTAAACCCTAAATCCTAAACCCTAACCCCTAAACCCAGGAATCGGAAACTTCGAACACTCAGGGAGACCCAGTACTAGATGGGGCGGTCCATGTTTTGGATGAAGTCCAAGCGCGCGTGGCCGTCTCGCTGCATGACGAAGACGGCCAGGAAGCTATGGGGTTCCTGGCATGCCAGAAGAACCTTATCCGCCTTACAAGTACCTGAAACCTCTTGTGCGAGGGCTTCGAAGGCCCATGTAATGCTTGGCAGTCTAAGGGCTAGCGAAAGGCTCTGACACGACTAACGTGGGTTATCGTAGCTGATCAAGCACAGACGGAAACGACCCTATGCGCTGTCTGCACCGCCTGATCCCAAAATGCCCCGATTGCTGTAGTCTTGGGTGTGCCGTTGCTAGCGACTGTTCTTGTCTTGGTCAGCGTCATATGCAGAATGCAAACATGCTTCGCGTAGCCTCTGTGCTCAGTACTGCTGCTGCTGCTGGTGATGAGCACTTGATCTTGCCAACACTGTACTGTAACCAACACATGCGACGAAGGCAGGACTCGTTGGAGGCGTTACGGCTCCAACCGCATAAGCAGAACTTACAAGAAGTGATGTCGCGGCCTTGATGCAGTTGTTGAGCATCTTGATGACCACGGCCACCTCGTTCGACAGCGCAGGACTTCGGCGCCCCAAATGCCAAAGCTAAAGCCAAGCTGCGTAGTCCGGGAAATCGATCATCAATTTCTGCTGCTCCTGCAACATGTTTCAAGTTTAGGCACAGTCCCAGTAGTTTACGGCTGCAGAATCCGAACGAAGAGCCTTGAAAAAACAAAACGACCATCCACGAGCTTTCATTTTGAGTGACAGGTTCTTGAGCGGACGATAGAGTGGCATGCACGATTCGGTCAACATCCCAGGAATATCCTGCATCTCTCTGAAGCTGTGCTCGTCCACGCTATGGACGAAGTGAAAGAAGAGGTCGTTCTCGCTGGTCAGCTCAATCCTGTGCAGCGAGTGATTTCGTGGCCGCGGTTTCTCGGTGTACGCTTCCTGTGGGAAGACAAACATGGACAGGCGAGCACTTCAACGAAACTGCCAGCATTCTATTCTAAACTCTGCACATTGCGGCTTCCAACCACAAGCCGGCACCCACTCGACATAGCCGCGATCTGAGTCCGCATGGGTCAGAATCATCACACCCTACAGCACATCGCTCCGTCGATTGGTAAGCTAAGACCCACTTGCGGTCTCCTGCAGTGTTGGGGGCTGAGCTCCTCCCCAAGTGCCAGGATCTTGCATCGAATCGCCTGCAGGTTCAACGCGGAGGTTCAGTGCAAACTGCAGTGCAGGGACACGGCTGTGGGGTTCAGGGATGTACATGGAAGTCATCCCAAAAAGCACGCCAAGTCTTCGGCGACCACCGTAACACGAACAAGCAAGCTACCACGAAGCGCGCGATCGATCCTAGACTGGAATCGCGATTCCTGCCGCGTGCTTGACATCCTTCATGCAGGGCCCAATCAAGTCTTAACATCTTGGTGAACACGTTAAGTCTGGCAGGTTCATAGGAAGGTGAAGATGTTGCTGCAGATACGCATGTCACGCAGCAGTCTCCAAGCAGAGGCGGCCATCACATCAGGACAACGTGCCGTGCGGTCACGGGAACGGGAGGTCCCACGCTACTCTCACCATTGCCAGATGTACGCCCGACTCCGTGCGACTTGCTTTCGGGTCCAGGGCAAGGTCACAGTTGCCGAAGATGCGCAGTTCATTCAAGAGGGCTTCCGAAACCCCATGACTCTTGGAGATTCCAAAACAGGATCCAGCTGCGCCCTCCCACCTCTAGCGTGCCCACTTCCTGGCAATCGCTCAGCATTCCACGCTCTCTAGGTGGCCTGCAACCTAACTTTAAGCCTTTGGGGGGGTCCCATCGGTGCACTCACTCTCTTGACGCTCGAAGGCCGGATACTTAAACTGCCACCTGCCACCTGAGGTGCCCAAACAGTATAGCTTGAGGCTTATCTGTTGCGGCACGTGCTTCCCCAATACCGACTACAGGAACAGACGAGGTAATTGCACGCAGCCCGGTCTGACGGAAACGGAAACGCAAGCTATGCGCAAGGTTGCGAAGAGGGTATCCGAACCCCGCCCCCCAAACCCCGATGCTGAGATCGCCGTCCTGTGGACCTGACTCAGCGTCCTCCGAAACGAAGCTTGTGGCAAGTAAGCTTGCTTGAATCTGCATGTATGAGCATCCAATGTCATTTCAAATCACAATCATCTGTCACGAGCATTGCCTGAAAATCGATTTTTCATACTTCTAGCTTGAGGGCCTGGTGAGAGAGGACTGATCGTGGTAAATGCATGCCCGGTGATCGTGGCTGGAACTTATGGCCACTCGCCTAGCCCAGTCAGACTCGTCATCCCGTTCGAGGTGTAGTGGGTGACGAGGCATGGCGAGTGAAGCTACACGTAATGGTGCACGATTCATATCCGGTCTCCTGCACCCGCAGCTCGAAAGGCACTTCGCGATCGTAAACCACACGGTGTCCTTTCGGGAGTGGCTGGTTAGCAATCGCACTTCTGCCACTTGGGAGTTGAAGTTCGTGGGCTCTACAGGAGGTGTGCGCAAAGCTACGTTGAGCTTGACTGACCAACGTGACAAGAAGCAGGCGCACGGAGGATTCCAAAACAAGCATCTGCAAAACGAGAACAGACAATGCTCAAGAAGAATCATCATCCTGCCCGCTGATTGCCAAAGCAACCTTGACATTCTGCCCCTGCCGCACTTCCGAAGCTCTGGGAGCCGAAAGCAGAAAACGTCAAGACGATTCAAGAATCAAAACAGAGGCTTGTAAACAGTTATAATTAGAGTATAGTGAACGTCCTAAGGTCCACAGAGAGACCTGGCCTTCGGATAGGGACGGGTCCATCTCTTCGAGCGCGCTGAAGTCAAACGCGTCCAGCATGCCTTGGGGAGCGGTATCGCATGCCTTCTCGCGGCACACGTTATGTGCTGTGATACTTCCAAGCCTGATCACAGCTCCTGCCCTGAATTTCTGACTGCCCTTCCGTGCCATTCTGGCGAATGGAGTCTGGAAGACGAAGCTGTCATCGCCACTCGCGACAAACATGATTGATGCCACGAGTTTAGTCGATCTGACTGAACCGAGAATCATCGCCTGCAACCAAGCGCATAACTGGGACCAAAAGCTCGCCGGAACCACTCTTTCAGACCTGCTCAGCCCAGAGCTCACGTTGCTGTGAACCGACTTCTCCTGCTCAGGCTAGCGACTCTAAGTCTCCAAGGATGGCGTAGGGAATGCATTGGATTTGGTGTGGGAGATTTCTGAAAGCCGGCTTGTCGGTCCCGAATCATACTGCTACGAGCAACAAATGAAGTTCATAAGGATGGAAACACCCCAATTCCCAGCACTCAACACCGGAAACGGGTACATGCAGCTTTCATCACGCGCTTCTCCGTACGTGCTGAGATTGCGCTTGATTCGCCTGCCTCGAAGTTGCCGCCTGCACGCAACGAAGCCATGGCAAATCTCTATGCAATTGGTTTGGATTGAGTTCGTTCACGTCACTCACTGTGCAGAACATGGTGCGTCTAGCAACTTATGCCTGGTTTGGCCGAGCAGAGATCGAACGTCGTGCTCTTCATGCTCTTCCCATCGTCAAGCCTTCGCCGAGAAACGCGTACTCATCTCGCATAAAAGAACTCGCTAGCATGCTTCGTGGATGCTGCTTCGCTTCCTATCATGAACCTGCATGGCCGGGGAACATTCACAAGTTCAGATTCAAACATGTACCACCAGGGGAAGAAGACGCTTCACGGCCAGGGTGACAGGTAACATATTTTTTTCTAGCACTGTCGGCCGGCAACCTCTGCAGAGGCACAGGACATGGCACGGAGTGTGCCCGAACGAGGCATTGGAGAGCCCGTTTTCGGCAGCTGCGGTACAAGCAGAGGGCAAAGACTTCGGTCACGCGGAACATATGTCCCCTCGCAGCACAGCTATGAAGCAGGGTGGTCTCCTGCATCTGCCTCTCCAAATCTCCCTTGCCGTCGGGGGTGAGATGCTCTAAGCCCGACTGCCAAGATTTGCATTTTCGGATCTCCAAGCCCCAAACTTGGAGCTTGGCGCTTGACGTTCAGAGTTTGGTGCTCGGGGTTTGGGTGCATGTAGTCACTGTAGTAGAACTGGAGATGACAGGGTACGAACTTCAGAAATATGCAAACATGCGGCTGGTTCTCAGCAGACTGTTAGATCTGATAAAGTATCTTAGCGGCTCCTTGGCGGCTGGGCTCAGTCTTGCTTGGTGAGAACGCCTTCCTATCTACCAAAAACAGACACCGCGGTGTCCAAAACTCAGCTCACCATCCCTGCTGGCCGCCCCATTGCTGAGGACCGCCCTTGCCGTAACAGCCACCACCGCATCCACCACCGAGGCCACCTCCCATGGGTGCACCTCCCATAGGACCACCACCCAGACCGCCACCGCCCAGGCCGCCGCCACCCAGGCCACCGCCACCTAGGCCGCCGCCTCCCAATCCCCCTCCGCCCAGCCCGCCACCACCCAAACCACCGCCACCCATGCCGCCTCCACCGAGGCCTCCGCCACCAAGGCCGCCACCACCTAGACCGGGACCGCCGCCCAGGCCAGGGCCACCACAACCACAACCACCGCAACCAGGGCCTCCGCAGCCTCCATAGGATCCCCCGCCATTCCAAGCTCCTTTGCCTCCGCAGCCGCAACCTCCGCAGCCTCCGCAGCCACAGCCTCCACAACCTCCACAGCCGCAGCCCCCGCAGCCACCTCCACAGCCACAGCCTCCGCAGCCGCCACCGAAGGAATTGTTCATAGGGCCTCCTTTGCCTGCCAAGGGAAGGACCAAGGCACGTTAAACTCAAGACAAAAACAGCCCTGGAAATGAGCGGCTTTCCCTGCGTACTTCGGAGCCGAGATCCGAAGCAAGCTTTGGTTTGGGGTCTGAAGTCTGACGGGCAATCGCTCGCTTTGGGGTTGGGGCGGCTAGGGTTTAGGATTTGAAGGCTTTACAGGGCTTTTGGTTTGGTCGCCAGCACTGGGCCTTCAAGATCGGACATTCCTACTGTAGTCGAGCCCCCTGGCCCTCACTTTAATTCAAACCTGCTTTCAAGGCACTCATCTGCCTGCGAATCCAGAACACACACCCAAACCCTCACAAAAGCTGAACTCTTGTCAAGTCCGAAGGACTGAAGTGAGTGAAACGAAGCGCAAGCTCCAAAAGCATCACCGACTGCAACGCCTGGAGGCAAGTTCAGAGGCAAGGGCGGTCGAGGCACCTCAGTGCGGCACTCCAGTTCAAAGTCCATGGCTTAGCTAGCGGAGGTTTGGAAGGCGATGGACTGAGGTTCGTCTGTGGGGCTTCGGGTGTGCTTCGAACGGGCGCGGCTCTGCAGCTGATATCAATTCTGAATTGTGCACTGTAGAGTAGAACCTAAGAGCCGTTCACCTACAACCTAAAACCGGGCCGGGAAGAATAAGAATAATCTCGCCCATTCCAAGTCTGGTCGCATAGGCTTGGAGCAGAAACCGTCAATGCCCCAAAGCCCGATTAAGCAAGCTGGAAAAGCTTAGAAGACAGTCCTGAAAGATTTGTCTCTGTGAGCTCCCTTTCGCAGCGTATGAGGGCACAGCTTCTTCTCCCTACTCTACGCTTCAGCAAGATTGCTGGAAGCAAGAACTGCCAGGGCGTATGAGGCCGTTCCCGCACACCACTTACCTGCCGCGGAAGGGGCATTGCCCGGCATCCCACCCATGCCGGGTGGTCGCGGCGGCATGCCAAGGCCACCTGGTCGTCTTGCTGGAAACATGCAAAGCTCCAGAAAGCGAGTTTAAAACTTAGGATTTAGGGTCGTATGGCGTGCTTCGTTTGCTCAATGTGGGAAGCTGCCCCTTTCGTTGCCATGACAGAAGGTTTCAGAGCGGTCTCGCATCTTGCTGCAAGGGCTACACGCTTTTGCTCCCTTCGCGCATATACACGAGCAGAACGCCAACAGGGCAATTTCTCGCGTTTTCCATCAGACCCAAGAAACGGTCCATGCCCCTAAACCTTTGAACACCCTTTGGTTAGCTTGGCTCAGGCGACACATTCCGTTCTGAATGCGAGAACACAAAGCGATTCGACAACACTGCCGGGGCCAAGAACCAGGATGCCATGGAGCCTTAAAGCCCTGAAAACATGAAACGGGGGTTTCCGAAAATAGGGGACCGTAATATAGCACCCTACATAGTAGGATCCTTATTATAAGGACCCCAAAATAAGGTACCCGTAAAGCCGACATCGGAAGCCCTGCATCCCACCCCAGCCGACTTTCCTCGAACTCAATCCTAGGCCCGCCCCATGAACTCTGCCCCAGCGTTTAGATGTTAGGGCTTATAAGGGTTATAGGATGCTTTAGGGCTATGGGCTTCTTCAGATAGCCGTCACACGACCTTCCATGCCGCAGCCCATGGGTGGCGGGACCGCGCCGAGCCCGCCCGGCCTGTGCAAAGGCCACGTAGGATCTCTGGATTTGAGAGAAGTCCGCTCTAGTGACTGGTGAACCCTAAACCCTAAACCCTAAAGCCTAAACGGTAAACTATAGGTGTACGGATTGTAGTCCGGAGTGGGAGGCTTTTGAACGGCTTCAAGGGGCTCACGGAGTCGAAGGATGAGGATTTCTGGCTTAAGCACTGACAGGCGTGCAAGCATTCAGGGTTACGGTATGGGATACAGAGCTCCGACAGTTGTCCGTGAAGCACTGTAGATCAAAAGAGTGGGTTTTCAGTGGTGTGCAGATGTAGGGTGCTGGGAGGGCTTATGGTTCGGCCACCAGTGATGAACTTTCTTCTTCTGACAGTCATCTCCAGAAATTTATAGCATTCTTCTGTTCGCTTTCAGCATAAGGAACAGGTCGCAGCGATCCGTGGTTAAGGGCTCGCAGTCGACTAGCAATATGCAAGTTCTATGCCTATCCTATAGTGGAGGCAATGAATTTATGTGCACGGAAAGCCGGATTCCCGGATTTAGCTGCATCGTTTCGATCACGACGTCGCATGTGATCTAGATTTTGAGTATACTCAGCCTGCCGTCCTGTTAATTTTCTTGCGACGGCTTCAGTCTAGTTCCAAAGATTATGAATGACATGGGACATTGACTTCTCTGACGGCTATAACCGTGTGGTTGTAATGAGTTGATGGTCCGTGTGGTTAGCCTGGCATTCGTGCTTGCAGCTAGTAACATAAATGTCATGACAAATTCATGTAGTGCGCAATTTTCGCATTTGTGCTTGCGCTGACAAGTGCGGTGAGACTGATCGATGCTGCACCTAATGATGCGGTGATGCTGATGATGACGGTGCATGCCAGCCGTCATGCATAACGACTGACACGGCTGCTGCTATGCATCTTTATCCGAAAAGTCTGGGGCTGGCAATACTTGCATCTTCGGAGTGCCGCACGCAAACAACAGACGGAAACCGTCAAACAAACATGGGCTGTCTTTTGCATGCAGAAGCTTGCAGAAACTCTTGCTGAGCTTTGCGAAGCAGGTTTTGTCCCGTGCATCCTCATCGGTTGCTCTGCTCCGGTACCGCTTGGGTTGTCCATCATGAGTCAACAGTAAGTGCACACCCCAGAACGTGGAGTATCGTCGTGGTGGCTTGAAGCTTCCGCTGGTGTTGCTGTTCACTGCATTGATGCGAGGCAGCAAATTGAATGTTATAATGCTTACTTAAACACCATGGATAAGTTCCGGGATCCGATCACACAAACCTAGGCTTCTTGACGTTGCAGTGCACCCCGCCTGGCATCCTCAAGTTTGTCGACATCCGACAGGGGGGAATTTACATCAAACCTTCAACGGCTCCGAGCCTGAAACCGTTATATCAGGAGCACCGAACCCGCCAACGATGCCCGCTCGCCTCGGGCCATAGCCGCCCATAGGCCTGCAAATGGTCCGCTGGTCGGGCTTGAAGGTTGCGGGTGAGTGGGGATGGCATAGGCGTCAGACTTGGTGCCGTGTAGACTGAGTGACCCCGAATGTCCACTGTCTAAAGAAGCAAACGGATGAGGCTGGAACAACAGAGCAAAAATCGTTATGAAATGTCGAGGGCATCTGCTCACAAAGTGCAGGGTTACGCTAGTCTACAACGAGGGCTGTTGTCACACTCAACAAACAAAATCAATGCAATGGCCACTAGAAAGGCACATCGGCCAACCTACCAAATCTCTCCTGGGCTGAAGAGTTCCGCAGCAACAAAGCATGACTGAACACAGCAAGACAGCAAACCATAGACCCTGAACCTTAAGCCCAAGCACTGCACCCGCAAGAAACATCCCGACCCCAATTCAATACTGAACTTCCAGCCCGCGCAATAAACTCTGATTGCAGGTGCGAATCCCTCAGACGAAATTCAAGTCTAAGTCTAAGTTGACTTGATGCCAAAACCCGATGTGTTTACGGCCTCATTCCGCCCATTCCTCCTCCGCAGCCGCCCTGGTCGGTGGCCGCAGGTTCGCTTTTTTGGCTAGGCTTTGAGATTTGGGGTGCTGCCCACGAGGGCCGGGATGAACTGTTTCACTTACGGCCCAGACCAAGATCGAATGTCTGCTCAGAGCCTGAACTGCCTCTGGCCCGAGCCACGGGAGGACTGAATGGATCGATAAGGTAATTGGAGGCTGCCTGTCCCTTGCAGACATCAGGACCACGCTTTCCGTGCGCCTTTCTACATCTGGAGCACACGGCAGAGGAGTGCTTCCGTCGTAGTCGTCGTCGCAGTAGTGGTGGCAGGGGTAGCAAGGGGCAGCGGTAGTATCAGCCATGAGTCGCAGTGCGTTTTTGATCGACTCTGGCCACTGGGCATCGTGGACACCATCATCCTCGATAGCTGCATCATCATCGTAGCGCCGCCACCACCTCGATCATGACCATCGTCATCACCCTCACCGCTGCTGCCACCCGTTGTCTCAACAAAGGGGGAACCAGAGAGACAGACAGAGAGGGAGGGAGGGGGAGAGAGAGCGCGAGAAAGCAATCACCATGGGCTCGCAGGCGCCTTGCCCCAAGACTTCTCCATGATCTTGGCCTCGCTTCAGGATGGGTGCGCTCTTTGGGGGCGACGGGGGCAGGGGAGAAGGTGGGAGCTCCAAGGTATGTTCCGCTGAACGCACAGATCGTATGAAACGTGCCGGACCCACGATTATCATAACAAGCTGAGAACAACTGCTGCGGACGGCAATCCTTGAGCTCCGAATTTCCCAAAACCGAAACCGCCTTGGACCCTGGAGAAGCCCGAGCCGTGTTCCGGCCCACTAGCGCACCAACACACTGAAACCTCAATGCCCCGAACCGTAGGGCTAGTCTTTGAGATCCTGGATGCCTAATGCCAAAGCCAGACTGGCAGCTGCAAGAACACCAGAAACCAAGGCAAGCCCTTGCAAAGCATTCCTGGAACCCAGAAGCCCGACAGGGGCCCTATATATCCTAGCTCCATGAAGCTCTAGGGCTCTAAACCCTAAACCCGAAATATATCCTAGCTCGAGGAAGCTTTAGGAAACTGCTCTCGAACTCTCTCTGGGCCAGCTGGCGTTGATCAAATCCTCAGCCCGCTGGACTTGCTCCACCGAGCCGGGTCCAATGATGACCTCAGGTAATATGGGGGCCTTCACAATTACCTATACTATTTTTTTATTGTATTTTTCCTTAAATATGTTTTTTTTGGGGGGGGTCCTTATTATGATTGTAGTACGATGTACCCCAAAACCCTATTCCTGCAGAAAGGGGTACCTTAACTCTTGAGCCAAATCCCGGAACCCTCGTCGATCCGTAGGTTGTCATGGCTTTCGCAAGCTTCTGAGAGGAAGCTTGGTGACGCTTAGCGTGCTCCGCTACCAAAGGCGCTGAATGAACGGTACATGCAAACCGAGTTTTACACTCTTAAAGAGATGCGGCCCTGTTGTTATCTGCCGTCGGAAGCCTTGGATCCTGGATCTGTGACGTCGAGGCTCAATGAAGCCCAATGTGGCTCAACATGAAACATCCTTCCAATTGATGGAGAAACTTGAAGCAGAAGGTTGTTGCCAGATCTCTCGTGCAAAAGTTCAATCTTTCCAAAGGGAGCAGGCTCCAGTGCAGCTTGGGGCACCGTTGCCTGCTCGCCTGGCGAGGTCTGATCCTGGCGGGCGCGGTGAGAAGAATCTGCGTGGTTTCTGCTGGAATGAGAACCGGAAACCCCTGCACACATCAGCTCAACAACGCCTCCGGTTCAGAGCGACTTCCAATATCAGAGTTTGACCGAACTCAAATTGAATTCTGGGATTATGGGGGAGTAGGCTCGGTTCGGGATCTCGGCTGCAAAACTGAAGTTGCGGTGCTTCTGGGTAAGCATGGAAGGTCCGCAACTTTGGATTGTCGGATTTTGACTTTTGGGACAGTAGTTCCTACGCTGCTACAGTGTCATGTCTACGATTGCTTGTATAAGCGAATATCCGTGGGGTCGTGAGACCAAGATAGTACTTGACGGTCGTTCCTTCCTCAGGAGCGAGCCGGCTGTTGGGAGGGGGACATGCCCAAGAGAAAACCTAAAACGGCACTTTCCGCCGATGCCCGCTTCTTCGAGGAGTTGTAACGTGTACACAGAGGATTCGAGCCGCATGCTAGCACAGGCCCAATCCCTAAGCAGACCCGGTGAGTCTCCCATCCATTAAACTTCCCAGAGACAGGAGGCCATAAGGTACTTCACTGCCAGACTCCTAGGTAAGAGCGCTTTCCACCTTGCGGCCCAGACCTGAAGAACTCCCCAAGGCCCGAGCGATCTGGATCTGGCATCCCGCTTCGGAGGTCATCCCCCTGCCAAGAAACATTTCTGAGCTCGTGGTCGTCCCATTTCGCCTATGCCTACTCATCCGTCAATCTCTCCGTTGCCGCGTTTCGGTGTGTTTGTCGGTCTCCATGCATTCTGGCAAACCGTCGACCTGTTTTAGGTTACCCTCCTCCTTCTGAACGGACTAGTCAGCGCATCCTGCTCTTGTTTGCATCTAGAAACTACATCTGACTTATTGGTCATCATTCTTCGAAGTTTACAGCCTTCTATCTGCACTGCCGGCATGAAGGCCCCCCACGCCATGCAGTCTTTGCAGTTCGTTTACATACAGCGGAAGGGAAACTGGCAGAACAAAGGAAGTGGTGAGGGAAGAGATCGGTGATGGAGCGGCTGCAGAGTAGACGAGCAGAAACTGTGCTATGATTCTGCCGCTGTGGGTCTCTAGACATTTGGGACTTTCCGAAAATTAGGGGTACCTTATTTTGGGGTGCTTTTTAGTGAGGATCCTACTCTTTAGGGTACTATATTAGGGTCCCCTATTTTCGGAAACCCCCATTTTGCAGAAAGCCAAGCGCTACCATCGTACCACCTATTGGGAGCCGTAAGATTGTCAACAGCGAACATGAAGAGTTGGAAGGACGGAGCCCCACTTCGCCGCTCTGAGCTCACACCCATCTTATCGATTAAGAAGCACAAAAGCACGCCCAAGTTCGAAAACTGATTAGTTTTGCCTCGGCTGTCCCTTCACTCGGATTTCATTCCTAATCGACATGAGGTTTCGGCCCAGAATGTCGGGCCTGATAACCTCTCCACCCTTGCCAATGAGACCACCGACGTGGACCTGCCATCTCGCTTGCATCTTTTTCAGCGCTTGCCGGGGGGCGAGGTGGGACCTTGGTCTGGGGTAACGCCATTTCAGAGTGCTCCAGCTGTCAGTGGTTTGTTTTTGTCAGCGGCTGGGTTTTGTCTGCTGTACTCCGGAATTGGCTAGCTGAAGAACTAACCCACGAGTGGGAAACCATCGCGAAAGATCCCGACAAGCTGCAATAAGGAACACACGAGCCAACATCAGGAGAGCAGGTCTTCAACAAAGGTATCCGGTGCAGGCCGATACATGATATATGGGTTACCAGAAGGGTTTCATCTAGAAAGCAGAGGCCTCGATTACCGGAGCCAGCACACTCAAGACGGCTCGGGATCAAACGTCCATGTCTCAAGGGTAACAACATGTAACGTTGAGGCTGGGCTAGTTCGTGGCCGAGATCACTGATGCTACAAGCCTTGAGCTGGATAAGGCAAGACATCGAAAGCTGAACTGTGTAAGCCCGAACCTTACACGAGAATCAACAGCTGGAAGTAGTAGCAGGAAGCGAAGTACAATCCCGTCCAACTACGGACGCATTTTAAAGCGGAAGATTCCTTGGGGTTTGGAGACTCACAGCCCAAGCGTAGGCCTTGTCCACCCGGAGCTCCTTGCAACCAAACGACAACAAGCACCAGGACGCTGACGACACCAAGCCGCAGGAAATCTTCCCAAAGAGCTGCAAGGCTTCGACAGCTTGAACTGTGATAATGTATCCTAGATCGACCGCACAGCTGCCTCGGATGCGAACCCAACTCCTTTAAGGTTCGCTTGACCTGCTGCTTGAAGGCTTGCTCCCTTACATCTGAATCCGAACAAAAGCAAGACGTAGAGCCCTGAGGTCATGTCTGTCTTACCCATGCCCGATCTTCCCAACTATGTTCTGCTTGCACAGTTGCAGGACCTCGCAACTTTGATTACCAGGCCTGCGGCTTCCATTTCCACAAACTGGATCGTCTTTTGTCTAGGGCTCCCAGGGTTCCGCACATGTCATGACGAAGAAAGGCTACAACTTCAAGCTCTTGCTTCAAGCACTACCCTACAGGCGCAACGCTGTATCATTCATTGCTACATTACCTAGGAAAACACTGACGCACGCGTTCAACATCCCCACAAATCATCAAAGTCAACAAGTCTAGTGCAAGGCTCACTTGGGGCATACAGAATACACGCAAATGTCTTGTACTTCCCCGGCGTGATTACAGTAGAGTACATCCCGAAACCTTGTTCTGGCTACCAAGGCCCCTATGTTGCCTTGATTTCCCTCAGGCCCGCGTATGAGTCCTTGGTCTCATTTCCAGCTGGTGTCGGGAGTTGCTGGCTGCCTTGCTGCATGCCTCGCACGGGGCTTCCGGCAGACCGAGTCCCAAAGAGTTCTGGACACTGGTGTCCAGAGCTTATTGCGGTTTGCAGCGATGTTTGAGTGCCCGGGGTTTGTTGGGGATTTTGCGGCCTTAAGGGTTCAACGTTGAATGGGTGCAGCGATTTAGACTCGCAGCAGGAGAAGCAGCCCTGCTCCAGCGCCTACGCACTGGGACCCTGGTCGCAAGATGTTGCGAGATCGGCACATGAAGGCTGTTAAGTCGAAGCGTTATCCATCACGCCTCCTCCGCCGCCGCCGCCACCTCGTGAGCGAGCAGAGTCGTTGCAACTTGATCACAACTTTCAGGTTTCTGCTGATGTCATTGCGGAATCTTCTGTACCTGCGAACCTGAGTTCTAGAACCTGAGCTGCCAACTCCCCGCCGTGAAACCGAAGTCCGGTAACTCCTTCCCAACCGCCCAGCCCGGCAACCCCCTGATGCAACCTCCGCCGGCGATCTTCTCGTTGATCAGTCGCTCAGCAGTATCAAGATCCGCCTTCGACACCGAATTTTAGGGCCCAAAAAAATCCACATGAGCAACGATTAGGATAGGGATATCCCATATCAATCCCCTTACTGGCCAAACTGCAGCTCAACAACGACAAGCATCCCGAGACACAGAGAAAATTAAAATACCCGAAAGGCGAACCCAGTTACTATGAAGGCCAACAAGGTAGGGAGATCCCTGTAAAATTGTTGTGCTTATGTCCTTTTGGGGGCCCATCCGAATGTCATTCAGTAGTGGCGGTTGCGGTTTCGGGCTGTGCGGTATCTGCTTTTGTCCAAGGGTGTGGCAAGATGTCTCCAAAGCTTCAAGTATCTGTGCAGGCCGTGGCTTTGCATGGTTCGTGGCCAGTCCTTTAGCACAGCTTGTTTCAGGACGGGCACGGCTCCAAAAGTGCGACACTTGCTCAAGGAACTATGTCGGGCGTCGCGCCCAGCTGAGACCATCAGACTCATAGTGTGCCCCAAGGGTCCCCTAAACCCGAAAATCCTAAACCCTAAACCTTAAACCCTAAAATCCTAAACCCTAAACCCTAAAAATTGGGGTTCGTATCTCAAGCCCAGGCATCTCGCCAAGCTCGGCAGGCCTCGACGTTCTTGATGCTGGTGACAATCGCCTTGAGTTGAGCGCTTCGGGGTCCCAGGCTGAAGCGCTGGAGGTCGGCTTGGTGTTTAGACCCAATAAAATATGATATAATATAATATAAGACCATATAATATAATATGATATAATATAAGATAATATAGTATAATATAACAGTATAATTTAACATAATAGGTGTGTTCGAGATGAGGGTGAAAAGGCTCAGGGATAGAGTAACATGAGATGCGGCGAAGGTGGCGAGATAAAACCAACACTCTGGACCTGTAAGCTCCACAATCAAAGGGCAGCATTTCGAAGGGCGTCGGACATTGAAGCGTAGACTTCGCTTTGCCTTCTGCCTACCCACACCCTGCTGACAATGGTCATGCACTCACAAGTCATCCGCCCAAATCAGACATCCTAGACGATGATCGAAGCAAAACATCGAAAACCAAAGCTGAAACCATGTGCAGTGTGTCAGGGCTGCAGCTCTCAAACCCTCATTTCCTCCATGGAACGCCGCACTCTCCCTGAGACGCCGCGCATAGCTGTAGCCGGCTTCCTTGGTGTCCTGCACGGTTTCAAGCACCATAGCTCTAAGGGGCTGAGCGACTGAGCACCACCAACTTGTCCCCGCTGGAGCGCTGAAAAGTGGTAAGCCAGCGCTGAGCTCAGCTCCTGGTTCATCTTAATGTCGGTATTGGAGGCTTCCTGGATCTCGTTGATCGTGGCGCCCATCTTGCCGAGAATCCTGCAGAAAACAGCCAGGCGCCGCAATCCCAGCTGTGGCAGACAGAGCCGAGATTTAAATTTCCAGTCAATAACCGAAGCAACAGCAAATCGTCGACATGGGTTTGGAACTGTTCTTCCAACGCTTCCCGAAACACCGCAAAGCGCTGGCTCCTGCCCACGCAGTGCTGAGGGACCTGCACAGTTGTGGGTTCCGAGGATTTGGCCGATCCAAAGCTTCAAGACAAGAGCTTCAAAGGGTCTTTGACTTTAGGATCTGGGCATGGAGGCTCAGTGAGGGCATGTACATTCTCTGGGAGATCACGAGTCTCCGAACGTACACGAAGTACGGCACAGCAACAGCAGCAGAGGATGCTGAACAATCTGAGCCCGGAAGCATTCTGAAATCCAATCCCGCGCTGTCAGTCAAGCCCGACGTTGCATCCTACATGGCAAGCCCTGCACAGTCCTCGAAGGCTCTTGACCCCCAACCCAGATGAGCGCTCCGCCCAAATCCCTCGAAGCCGGGCCATGAACCCAGCATCCAACGCATCGCAGACTCGAGGACCATCGGCCTTGACTTTGCGCTGTCCAGCACGCACCACCGGCTCTGGAGGCAGCTTGGGCACCTTCCACACCAAGCGGTTGAAGGCTGCAGGCTCAAAAGTACTTAGGCTGCAATGGCTTTACGTAACTTTGGGGGCTATAGGTGCTCCGAACTGTCGCGGCACGACCCCTGAGACACCCATACCTCTTGAACATATAGACTTCGTTGGGCCTGGAACTGATCTCGAAGCCAGTCTGGGATGCCTGCACATCAAGCTGGAGGCAAAAGAGCTTCTGCAAACTTGGGGGTTCAGGGATAAATCTTCAGGCTGCGGGCCACTCTCGTGGCTTCAGGGCTAAACTCAAGTCAAGCTTAAGTTGAACAACGAAGCCTGGCGCCAAGTGCGAATATCGGAAACCTTGCAAGCCGATAACCCTTTCTTCAACCTCTGAACACCAAGACCCGAACCCCCTGTTCAAGCGCAGTGAGCTCCAACGGCTGCACGGCTGTATGCACTTCGACACTCGAGCCAACCAGCAAGCGTTCAAGCTTGACCCCCCAAAAAAAGCCGGAAAACGCACAGCTTCACAAGGCAGAACCAGACGTGCCGCTGTCTTAATCTTCTGCTGCCTGCGGCAGCCAAGGGATCTTCCTGGCAAGGCCGAGGTCAGGACTCCGGCTTGAGAAGTTCGCGAGGCCGGCTCGAGAGGCTTTTCCAGTTGCGCCAGGGAGCTATGTTATACTATATTGTACTATGTTATAGCATATCATATCATATTATATTCTTTTATATTGTAATACCAAATATAAGCTTGTATTATTATATTATCCTTCCAAAAACCTCATCAAGGACCCTTGGGCATGGAGAGGACTGGCTGTGCCGGCCTCACGGACTCATTGAGCCTGTTCTCCCTGCCTAGATTCATCATTACGAGGACACCGAAAAGAGATAGCCTTGAAGCCCCAAGGCCCTTCAGAGACTGAGGCCCTTCGAACCAAATGGTGACTGAACAAAACGAGCTGATGATGTACCCGGAGCGTGCCAATGTCCATGTCTCGGCTTGCTCGGCTTTCACGTCAGTTCGGGTCTCAGACGCCCAAAGCGCCTCTCCCCAACGAGACTTCTTCCGGCGGCTTGACTCCTGGCAAGTCACGGTAGGTGAGAGAGTTGTGGGCCTGTTGATGTTCATAGTTCAGGTTTTGAGGTTTTCATAGATTTTGTGGAATTGTGGTTGCATGCTCGACTGCTGACTGCTGCCTGCAGCCAGGCTTTCCCCTTTTCTTCGTGGGCAGGCTATTGCCTTATCGCATCCGCAGACCGTCAGACTCTGAAATCTCGTACTGCTGCGCCGCGCTCGAATCAGGCATGCCTAAAGTCTGAATCCCAAGCTGTCCAACCACCACCGGGACACGGAATCCAAGAAACAGACCCTAAACCCGAAACCCGAAACCCAAAATCCTAAACCCTACGTTTAGATTTCCCACATCTGAGCCCGGATCCTCAGGTAGAGGAGGCGCGGGGTCCGAAGGAGGTGCCCTTTCCTGACGGAAAAGCAGTGTAGGGATTCACGCCTGAAGGCATCGGGCAAACTTCGTTGGAGTGGAGGCTTTTCATTTTCCGGGTTGGCCCTAACATAATATAGTATCTTATTATTACTACTATTAAAATTATTATTGTTATTATTATTGTTATGATTATGATATATTCTTATTATTATTAGTATGTATTGTATACCCCTCTCTTGCCAAAGCTGCACGAGCCGTGGGGATTTGTGTCAGTCAAGGCTTGAAGCGCGATCGACATCTCATGGCTGTGTGCACCTGTGGAAACAGTAGCTCATGAACCAGCCCATAGCACCATCAATACACTGACCCATAGTTACCTATCACACTCAGACCAGCCTTCAAAAACTAACCCCTAAACCCCGACCCTTCCAACAGTAAACTGTTGACATTGTTTCGCCTCATGCCGCGGCGGACTCGGCGCATCGCCACGATCTGCACGGAGCTCGTCCTCGCAATAAGGCGTCACAGCATAGTGCCCCGAGCAACAGATTTCATTGAGGGCATGTCACTGTATGTCCAAAGCATGTAGGCAATTCCTGTGCGAACCTCTATCCGCCTCTGTACAAAGAACACTGTCGCTAGGGATTTTCAAGTTCGAACAGACGTAAGCGTTCGGAACCAAACTCTGCATGTTGACTGGAACGACCCGTCCGCGACGAGATTTCATTGACAAAGCCACCGGTGGCACTCCGAATCGGAACGGGAGAAGGCTTAGAAGAGAGCTGTGATCTTGTATGTCGAAGCCTTTCGTGGCTTTCCTGCCTGAAGACTCCAAGCAAGCCTTCTATGGAATCCTCAGTTCTAATAGTGTTTCAACAAAAATCACCGGTGATAATGTGTCCATGCTGTTCCTGGCCAGAGCTTCGCTGCAAGCTTCAACCCTGAATCTCAAGACACACCGGTGATGGTGCGAATGAACATGGTAACTAGGGCAAGTAGAACCTGCCCTCAGATCGTCCATCTTCATTCGTTGTATGCTTGCGGTCTTATCAACATGCCGCAAGGGCCTTAAGGAAAGGAACAACAGGAGGAACTGCAACTGCATGTGCTGACAGCAGTTGCTTTTCGACCGCACATGCGTGGATCCAGGTAGCTGTCGTCCGTGTTCCAAAAACTTAACAACGGCTGCCTGCGCATGGCCTAGGCCCTAGAAGCATCTTCTGCTTGCCATGCGCAGGAACGAGTGCTACACGCTGGGGCAGTCTGGCGATGATGGTGCCCACAATGTGAGAGACCGCGGCAACTAATGCTGTACTGAAAGACATCTTGATGCACGAGGCTAGTGCAAGAAATCACGATCAGTTTCAACATCATGCAATCAAGGCATGTCCTGGGCGGGATGAGGGCTCAGCTAGCTAAGATACCTCCAGCAGAAGCCCCAACTTCGGAGCATGGCCATCGCGCCCCTTTGAAGCACCTATGCAACCAGTGATCTCCCAAACTTCGGCTGCCCATGTCCTGCAGGGAGCCCCCACCACGGCAACGGCCGCCGCGGGACCGAGACCTGGCCCACAGCTCGAATGTGTTGCACTAGGCACAGTCAAGGCCGGGGCGCCTTTTCGACCACAGACCCGCCTTCTAGTATCTCACTCAAGCGAAGACAAACTTCCCAACCTATGTGAACTAAAGCCTTCAACGGAACACTTCCTCCTTCTCCTGAAGCACTTCATGCCCGTAGTCTTAAAGCCGCCAAGACCGTGAATCCATCCTTCCGCCGCTTTCACAAGTCCCCCTGTGACTCCAGCATGAAAAGCTAGCGCTCAGCCTGAACACTGGCCCAGTGCACGCCCCCCAAGACGCAAGAAATGTGAAGCCTTGAAAACTTAGCAGACTTAGCAGCCCGCCGGCGGACGAAGACGAAGAACTCCCGAGCTGTACCAGCCCTTCATCCTCCCGTAAGCTTGTCTTGGCCCCGTTTCTGGGGCCCCCCACCGACTGCGGCGACGTTCGCGGTCCTCGGCCGAGGGCTGCGGAGAACGAGAGAAGGAGAATGATATATATATATGTACATATATATACATATATATATATAAGCGGACAGTAAAGCAGTTGGACAGTTGCATCCTGTTGCAGAAATAGAAACTTAATGTGCTTGCTGTCGTTTAAACAGAACTGATGAAACGGTATTGGGTTCTACATCGTAAGGGCTATAGGTTGGAGCTCTGGGGGCAGCAAGTGGGCAGCTTAGAATGCAGCATTCCAGGCAGATGAGTTGGAAATCTCAAGACGTTGTAGCTCTACTAATTACACGATGCCCCGGAGGTGTTTGCAAAGTATGCAGGGCTACACTCCCGACTCGGCTGCCGTTGCTGTATTCATTATTATGATAAATGGTTAATTATTATTATGATTATTACTGTTACTATCATTCATTAGCAATCTGGGGCCGGGCCCTGGGCCCTGCTGCGTCGATCGCGGCGGTCGCGATCCCGGCTGCGCCGGTCTCGGCTCCTGGAAGCATCGGGCCCTTGGCCCTGACGCAAGCTTTTATATATATATATAATCTAGTATATTATGCTTAGGTTTTAGGGTTTTGGGTTTAGGGGTATGTACGTAAGACCTTTATGTAT